CAGACCCCCAGCAGGATTGCTTTCTCAAAAATCGAAGAGGCATCGTTCTCCGAATCTCGAGAGCCAGATCCCCGACAGGATTGCTTGTTCGAAAACCGAAGAGGCACCACTTTCCCAACTTCAAGAGCTGGATCTCCTTGGATAAAGCTTGTCTGTAATCTTCACACGCAACATCAGCTTTCCAGATACCACATACCACTTTTTCAAAGTGCTCTGACAGAGTTAAGCTGGCAGCTCCCACTACCGTGCTATGACCAAGCAGGGTAAAGGAATAGCATTATTACTTGATGTTAGGGAGACTCCTATATATGTCGACCTCCATCCCCAACGGACAGGCAGACCTGCAAAAATGCTCAACCCTTCCTCTTATCTGAGAGGGCACTCCCAACGAAGCCTTTCGAAATATTCAGCTTTCTTTCCCCCCGATAATACCTCTGTAAACAAGCTATACTAGAGCAAGAATATCTCATATCATCAGGGTTAAAAGCAAGAGTATCCCATATCATGCTTTTTCCCTGTCTTTTCCTTTGGCCTTGTTCTTACCTGCAAGACAAGGAGAAAGAGAGCAATCAGTCAGCACTTGGAATCAAGCTTCCAGCCAGGAACTGACTGCCTGGAACCCCTTACCTGATTACTTACCTGGACATTGCTCTCGAGTACTCATCTTCAACATCTTATGCTTCCAGGGAAGATACCGCATCTGCCTGAGGAACAGATAGGGCAAGTGAGAAGGATACAAGGAAGCATGTGGAGACAAGCGTAACAGCACACGTGCCGATACATCCACTACTCTGTCAAAAGCAAAAGTATCCCATATCAGCAGGGTCGAACGTACTCTAGATTTGATGGACTTGTTTTGACCCTCAAATTCTTCAGTCGGCCTTATACTCTGGAGGAAACCAGAAAACCCTCCAGCCCAGTTCAAGAATAAGCCTGTGGAAAGTTACTTCTTCAAAAGCAAAAGTATCCCATATCATCTCTTCTCATTTTTCTTCTCTTTATCCTTCATGCTGCCTGCAAGATAGGGAGAATGTGAACAATCAGCCGGAGCTCTGATTGCTTACCTTGTCTGTCACCTCTTTCAGCAGATCCCCTAGCTCGGCGACTTGGGGGACTCCTACTACATGGTTTGTATCGCGCTTGACCAAGCCTGAAACTACAAGTAAGCTTCAAGTGAACATTGATACATTACCTTGTGCATCTCCACCAGTTACAGATACCACCCCTGGATGGAGGAAGAGTACTTCCAGAGAAGATGCCACATCTACCTATGAGACAGATAAGGAAAGTCAAGACGATACCACACTCCGGTACTTAGAAGTTTCGTGGTTATGAGATCATTCTCCCACAATATTTCCTAATGTCATTTGTACTAAATCATTCACTTGTACTCACTAAAGGAGAGCTTGAACCTATGTACCTGTGTAAACCCTTCACAATTAATGAGAACTCCTCTATTCCGTGGACGTAGCCAATCTGGGTGAACCACGTACATCTTGTGTTTGCTTTCCTATCTCTATCCATTTATTTACTTATCAACACTAATGACCGGAGCAATCTAGCGAAGATCACAAAAAGTGACCGTTTTCGCTACCTAGGATCTATCTTGCAAGAGAACGGAGAATTAGATGGAGATCTCAACCATAGAATACAAGCTGGATGGATGAAGTGTAAGAGTGCATCCGGCGTGTTGTGTGACCGTCGTAGGCCACTGAAGCTCAAGGGAAAATTTTATAGGACGGCAATAAGGCCAGCGATGTTGTATGGCACAGAATGTTGGGCGGTGAAGCATCAACACGTACACAAAATGGGTGTAGCGGAGATGAGGATGCTTCGTGGGATGTATGGGCACACGAGAAAGGATAAGATTGGGAATGAGGATATCCGAGGTAAAGTAGGAGTAGCCAAAATTGAAGGAAATATGAGAGAAAATCGGTTCCGGTGGTTTGGACATGTGCAAAGAAGGCCTACTGACGCTCCGGTTCGAAAATGTGACTACGGGACAGAGGTTCAGGGCCGAAGGGATAGAGGAAGACCTAGGAAAACTTTGGAAGAGACCCTAAGAAAAGACTTGAGTACTTGGATCTAACGGAGGACATGACACAAAACCGAGCGCAATGGCGTTCTAGGATTCATATAGCCGACCCCATTTAGTGGGAAAAGGCTTTGTTGTTGTTGTTGTTGTTGGTGTGAAAGTCCCGATTTTGAGATGAAAGAACCCACCTCCTAGCCATATATGATCCACAATTTGATAGATTTCTCCTAATGGCAAGCTTTCCCACACTAGACACTACTCTAAACCACGCCATATCTACCAACCCAATCTACCAATCACACAACTTTTATCTAAATTTAACATAAATTTACCTCCCCCAGCCGGAATGTTAAACCTCAATCATAATCCTGTGTGTCTTCACCCTTCAGTCCTATGAATCAAAACCCTTTTCAAATCTATAAAAAAAAATAAAAAAATAAATAACAATCAAATAATTATACATATTATAATACCTTAATCCATTCATAGTACACACCAGATTATGAATGCATAAACTTGATTAAAGAAAGTGATCAAACAGATATATAACCGTTAAATCGAAAACAATTCAAAATTTTCACCAAAAAATAGAAGAAATCAGAAGAAATGAAATACCCAGGTTGAAGGTGTCTTCTTCCCCCTTTCCAAACTCTTGGTTCAGTTAATAAGAGTCCGTGTAGGATTTCAACACATGTTTTTATAACAAAAACATAACTAAAATTCCTATCTTTTTTCCCCCGCTATTTCCTCTTCCTATTTTTCCTCTCAACGGTTGAAATGGTAGTAAACCGTAAATTTATAATTAAATAAAAAAATGCAAACACATTAATGTTATCTCTAAGGCACACATATACATACATACATATATCAGTAAACTGTAAAATTAGAGAGAAGAAAAAGAGAAAGAGTTTGCCAGCTAACTGTTCACGAGTTCTATATCCATTAGAATTCTCTCCGATTCTGGAAGGTCCTCCGATTGCTCTCTGCCTCGACGCCTTCAGATTCAGAAGGGGAATTTGCGTCCCCGAATCGAATCCATGGCGGTGAGGATGAACGAGGAAGCTCGGGGTCTCGAGGAAGACGTGCATCGCCAAAATCTGCTGCTGCTAGAATCTGATTGGGTGGAAAAAAGAAAAGCTGGGAGGATGAAATGCATGGATCGAATCGGAGTAGGTTCGAATTCGAAGAGCGAGTGTGATGACGTCAGTGAGTTGGAGTTCATTTTTTGCTATAACTGCCATGGCGCCAAAGCTACAGAGCTAAAAGATAGCTAACGGGCAAGTGACGAGCCTGAAAATTGAAGCTTAATTTGGGATCTATGGAACGTGCGTTTTGGGTTTTTTTTTATTAGGATGTGTTATCCACACATTTCATTTTACTTCTCACACACCTCTTGATAATTTCTGTCTGTTGATATTTTTCAATTCATCCGATCAGATGACCGAAAATTAAAAAAGTGTGTGAGAAGTAAAATGAGATGTGTGGATATCACATCCTTTTTTTATTGTGGGTGGGGGTCCGGGAGAGAGGCCAAATCCAGACCAAAGGCCCAATCTTATTTTGTTATTTACGGTTTTTTTTTTATATATAAACGATGTAACATTCTTAGTTACTTTAAATTTAGAAGAGGCAGATTGAAATTCGAATTTTAGGGTGTTAATAATAATTTTTAATTTTAATAAAAAGCTCATTTAGGAGTCTACAAGGATTGTGAAGTGCACGGAAAATGAGAGTTGTATTTTTTTTTTTCTTTTGAACAAAAGATAGTGGAGCCTAAGGAAAGGAGGTTGAGCTTAGCTCCATAATAGGCTGGCAATAATTTGGTTTAAATTTAGGGATAGTTGCTGAAACTGATAACCGTTGATAACCGCTCGAATGGATTGGATTTGAGTATGAAAATTCGGGTATATTTTGGATATGGGGAAAAACCGTGAATAATATTCGATTATGACTTTGGATATGGTTATAAGGGTTTCCAATCTATATCCGTCACCAAATCCGAACCGAATTATATATAATATAATAGTATTTATATATAATCATATATAATATAATTGTATTATAATATATAATATATATATATATATATATATATATATATATATATATATATAGGCCCTTTAAGGAAAGGGTCCCCATTTTTAAACAAAAATGGGGACACCCTCTTGACCATTAGATCTGGCTTTAATGAAATTTTGTGGTTAAGATTAAATCACAGGCCACATAATCTCAACCACAGAATTTCATTAAAGCCAAATCTAACGATCAAGAGAGTGTCTTCATTTTTTTTGAAAAATGGATATCTCTTCCCTTAAAGGCTTCATATATATATCTTTAATATTAGAAAGTCAGAAATCCAATTTGGTGTCTCAAGGCTTCACCAAAAAAAATTGGACTATAAAGCCCCTCAAACAAAAAAATCCACAACTAGCTAAAAATAATAGAAACAAAACTTTAATATTAGAAAGTCAGAAATCCAATTTGGTGTCTCAAGGCTTCACCAAAAAAAATTGGACTATAAAGCCCCTCAAACAAAAAAATCCACAACTAGCTAAAAATAATAGAAACAAAATACCAGGGATTATTTTGTCATAAAAACAAAAAAAAATTACAAAACAAAACAAAATTACAAAATCAATTTTCTTCCCGCTATCTTGCGAGAATAATCCACGTGATGGAAGCAAAAGAAACCGTCGTCGTCCCGCACAAAAACCACATCCGGAGGAACTCTTTCACTCATCTCAAGAACCACACCCGGAGGAAAAGAATCAATTTTCTTCCTACCAATTCTCTCTCCTCCAACCACATCCGGAGGAACTCTTTGACTCATCTCAAAAACCACACCCGGAGGAAAAGAATCAATTTTCTTCCTACCAATGAACTCTCCTCCACCTACGCCCCGGCCATCTCCAGGTACCCAACTTCCCAATTTTAAAAACTAGGGCTTTTTTTTTTTTTTTTTATCTGTCAGTTAATTTGGGAATGGTGACTATCTTACTCAATGTGTGAGATTGTGTGTGTTAAAAGAGATTGGGCATCTACAGAGCCACGGAAAATCCCCAAGTCCAGTTTTGATTTTCCACTCTTTTCATTTTTTTTTCCTTGCAGATTCGTGAAAAGGATTGGGAGTACAAAGTGAAGCTTTTCCGTAAGTTTTCGATTTTTTTATGTTGGCTTTGTAGTTTGTCACTGATTTTGGTATTTTAGATTGCTTTTTGGGGAATTTAAAGTTACCCAGAAACTCCAATTGCATAATTTGTGGTTGATAATAAATGGGATTTTGTTGACATGTGTGATTTATATCATAAGGCTATGAAATTTTACTAAATTATGTTTCAAGCTATGGAATTTACTCAACTGTGTGTTTTACTACTATGTTTACAGACTATATACAAGAGCAGGAAATGGAAATCGAAGGGTTGGAAGCAAATTCTTGCGGATGACTTCAAAGGTATCTGCTATGTGTTATAAAATTTGTTATCTGTTTTCAAAAGAAATTATGTGAAATTAATAGGAATGTTCTTTTCTGTTGTTTTCGATATGCCAGAAATACATTCGGGTGAGAGCGGGTTAAATACTTCCCAGCGGTGTTTCCAAATAAAAGTATCTCCAGTGGTAGGCATCTCCTTCTCTTGCTGTTTGCATTCTACTGGCATAATATTGTTATAACAGCATCATGTTAGGTTGAAAAAGAGTCTTCCTCGGTACAACTTTTCAACTCTCAATCTTAATCTTTTATTCTCAACTTCATTTGTTTTGGTCCTGTCAAGCTTAAATAGGGACGTGCATATATGTATACTTACCATAATTCATTTTTAGTTTCATTTTGGCAATCTTAAATAGGGTTTACAGACTTGGACTATTGGACTATTAATCGGTAGTGGGTACATATGCGTTTCATTTAGTGGTTTGCATTACTAATATCATTTCCCTGTCTACATTCTCCTCATTTCTTTTTGGTTAAATAGGCTTTGGTGAAGTGAATTAGGAAACAGAAATACAAACAGAATTACTACATTACCAAGGTATTTCCCTCATTTCATTACTGAGGTAATTCCCTATTCATTCTTAAGACAATCGCACAACATGTTTAATATTTACTTTGAATGCCGTCAAAGGCATCACCTTTTTAGTATTTGAATGATTTCAACGCCATCGTGGTCAATATTAAGCATGTACTTGCTTTTGCTTTCCAAACGGTGTTTCCAAATAAAAGTATCTCCGGTGGTAGGTATCTCATTCTCTTTCATTTTTAGTTTCATTTTGGATGCAAATTTTTCTTCTTTTTGTTAGATTATGTCATGGAAGCTTTAGGTGGAGTTTTTTTTCACAGTAAGTAGAATAGAAAAGGAAGGTCATGCCCAAAGACTTACGAACTAAGGCAAAACACCAGAAACAGAGACGGGAAAGCATAGAAATGGTACAACAAAAATAATAGCAAAAAGTGACTGCATGAAGGGTAAGTGACTTGAAGTATACTTCAGTCTCGACCCCATTTCTGTTTTGTCCATGCATTTTTATGTCGCCCATAAATGAAATAACCCCCTCTTTGTGATCCTTAAAGTCAATTCATTCACAAAAAACATATTATATATGTCTTTATTGTTCTGTTTTCTATTTAGTACTCATATGTTCTTCAAATATGACACGCATCCTTACTTCTTTATTGTGAATGCTCTTCATTTGATGTTATATATTTTCTTGCCAAAATGTAAATAGGTTGAAAAATTAAACATTTGTCATTTGTTATAGCACAACACTATGACACAATTATCTAATCTGCCTCACCAAATGACACTGTCTGTTTTGTCCATGCATTTTTATGTCACCCATAAATGAAATAGGGATTACAGACTTGGACTATTAATCGGTAGTGGGTATATATGCGTTTCATTTAGTGGTTTGCATTACTAATATCAATTCCATGTCTACAATCTCCTCATTTCTTTTTGGTTAAACAGGGTTTGGTGCAGTGAATTAGTGGAGCATTCAAACAAAAATACAAACAGAAATACTGCATTACTAAGGTATTTCCCTCATTTCATTACTGAGGTATCCCCTATTCATTCTTAATTTTGTTAGATGGTACACAATTGCACAGCATGTTTAATATTTACTTTGAATGTCGTCAAAGGCATCACCTTTTTATGCCTACTGTCTTAACTTTGGTTAGGGTGGTATATGTTTGGCTCGGGGTAGTTGTGGGAGGTTACTGAATATGTTTAATTCCCGTTTTTAAATTTTAATGCAATTCAATTACAAATAAGGCTAATATTTGATTCTAACCGAACGCATTAAACTTTCAACAGGACGGCGATATGAGTTCATGATATGAAGAACCGTCAAGTGTATCAAGGCCAGTTGAAGTTCTTGGATTGTTTTTATACTTTTTACTTAGCTTTTAGTTGCAACTAAATTATAAGGATCTTCTATGTTATTTATTACTTTTTTTTTTTTTACAAATTCTAGATAAATACTTTAAATTACTACCTGTATTATTAGAGATGATAATTGTCTTTATTTTATGTTTCTATACATTGAACCAATCCTCACATATGAATACATCTAAAATGTGTAAGTCACGCGTAGCGCGCCGTGAGGAAAAAAGTGTCTTTCGCACGCGCGTGAGGACACTGTAATAGGTACTGATGTGTATGAGAGAGTATCCACGTCAACAACTTCAAATTTATTGCTTCCTGTTATGTGCAGCCATATCATACTTTCTAAACCATATACATTGACAATTACAATGGAAAAAAACTAACACAATACACATTTAGGGGTGCGTAGCGTCTGTGATGCAAAAATGCCTCTCGCACGCATGTTAGTGCAGAGAGGCTAGTATATATTATTTACTAAATCCATTACTTTGATAATACAAAAAATGCACTGTGTGAGTCACATTTGGTGGGCAAGTTAAAAAGTTTTTATATGAATCAAAATCTATGAGAATCTAGACTAATAGTACTTATGGGAGATATCAAATATCAGCCAACATTATCAATGTTTAGCTTTAATTTTTGTGCTTTACAAGATTCATTCATTAAATCATTTTATACATCAAATATTTAGTGACGAAATTAATATTTACTAAATTATCATGCGTTAATTGAACGAATATTTTTTTTGTATTGACGAAGATGGGTATAACCGTTAAATGATGGGGAATCCGTTACTCGGTGGGTATGGTTATGGTGTTTAATTGGCGGTTATGGAATTTTCGTGGTTATGGGGATGGATATAGCATTTTCATCCCCAAACCGAACTGTTGACATCCCTATTTAAATTCGCCTTTGACGAGAATCGAACCAAAAATCTCTCACTTACAAGTGAAAAGGAATACCACTATATTATAATACTAATAGGCGAGAGTTGTAATTTGTTTTCCTATATAATCGTCACCAATGCTTGAAGATTGCATCTTTTTATAAGAGAGCAACTTACATAGGTCAGTTCACTACAACTTAAAGGTAACATATATCATTGAATCTGTAACAACCTGTTTTGGAATTTACTGTACATAAAAGGTATTTTTGTATTTTCACCAAGTTTAGGAATTTATTTTCTTTTAAAATTTGTTTTTGAATCTTAAATGGTGAGCCAAGGGACCCACCCCTGATTTCTGTCCCCAACCTCCCATCTTTCTCCTTCTCTCTCTCGCTCAACACCCTCTCATCTCTCTTTTCTGCTGCACCGTGAGCAACCCAAACAACCTGCGTTGCAGGTTGTGCATGAGACCAACAGCCCAGTCACCATCATTGCCCTGATTTTCCTCTCCCCGTTGCATTAAAGTCGGCCCAAACGGAGAAACGAATCTCCGGCGACTTCCTTTTTATTTTTCGGTTAGGTGAGACCTCGATCTATTTTCCTCAAAGAACTTCTTGTTGTTGGTGGTTGTGTGTGGTGATTCACGTTGTTTTCTCAATGTTAAGGCGGAGCCACCACAGAAGAAAAGAACCCCCAAACTTTCCGGCGAACAGTGGCCTTCGTGGGCTTTTTCCGATCACACACGTCCATTTCACAACGAAGCAAGGATATAGAATTACTCATCTCTCTCTCCTCTTCATTTTAATGCTAAACTTGGACCCTAGTTTGTTAGGAAACCGCCTGCCGGAGCTCGGAGTTGTAGCAACTCCGGCTTTCCCCTCCGTGAAACACCCAGGCCTTCAGGCCACCCAAATTTCCCCACGGGCCTAACCCGTTTTGAAGCCAGCCCAGTACCTTGGCCCGTTCAGTTTTTAATTTTGGTTATGTTCTTTTTTAAAACCCAACACCTAAGGGCCTTGGGCCTGTGTTCTAAACCCAGCCCTTATTGGTTTAAGGCATGCGGGCCTTGCTCAGGCGTGCGTGTGTGTAAAGTGTGTGTGTGTGTGCAGTGCACGTGTATGTGCGTGTGTATGGTGCATGTGCATGCTGTGCATGCGTGTGTGTTTGGGTAGTGTGTGTGCGTGTGATCGTGTGTATATGTGTGTGGGTTGTGCCGTGTAGGTATGTGTATGGGTTTGGGCTTAAGCCTAAACCTCCCCTTTACACCCAAAATCCAATGAGTCCTAACCCTAAGCCCTAATCCGGATTTCAAGTCTAAAACCCGTTTGACCTAATTTGATCGTTGACCCCCGGTCAACGTTGACTTTAGGGTTGACTTTTCGGGTTTTCGTCCGGGACCCTTCCTATGATAATTCGACGTTCTGAATCCGTTTCTAATGTCCGTTTTTCCAAAATTCAATCGCTCTTATATAGTTTTATTAATTGGACCATTTATGTGCTTATGGGCAATTATTGTGACGTTTCCGTCTTCGCTGGTGGCGCAGGTTTTGGCAACTAAGTACTGTGAGTGGACCCCTTCTAAAATTACATGATTTGATAATTTAATTGCATAAATGATTAGCATGCCTACGAATTTATGAATTGAATTATGTGAAGCCTGTTGATTTAATATATTGATTATCGTCTCATGTTTTGGTGAAGAATTAATTGTTAGCCTATTGAGCTATATTTTAATATATCATATTTTCTATAAAAACCATGAACTGGTAGACTATCTGATAGATGATGATAGGATGCTAGAACATGTTTTTGAAACCCCTCTTTATAGTATAGACGATGATCGATATCTATACTATGAAGTGGTTATTTATGAGAGGCGTAACTATTTGTGCGTACCTAGTAGACATTATGCCGCCTGGGGCGAGGATCTGGTGTTGGCAGTAGGCCAGGAGAAATAATCCCTAGCGAAAGGCTAAGGGACATGTTGACAGGCATTGGGCCGAGAGGGAGTTATCTCTGGCTACGGGCACAGAGACTTAAGTGCAGGTATTGGGTCGGGAGTTATATTTATTCGGTGATCTTTCTAGCAGCACACTGCGCTTACGAGACGATTTATGAGACGTTTGATATTTCGATTTCCACGATGCTTTTCCGCGATATATGGCTTTTGAGATATTTTTGGCATGCTAGGATTTTTATTAAATCCATAATTTATTATGCTAGTAGTTTTCATTATATAACTGTGGGGGTTATTACCTTGATAACTGTTTTTTTATTATTATATATATAAACTTGGTCAACTCACCTTTGTTTTGTGCCCCCATTCAGGACTTAGGATCAAGACACCTAATCCCGGCGTCAAGACACTTTCACAGCAGCATCTTCGAATCTTCTCGATGTAGGACCCACTCTTTTATTCATTCAATTTTATCTTAATTCTTTTTAGTGATTATGTTTAGTTGTATGCTCTGAGCACGTTCCTAAATTATTAATTCATAGTATTTTAAATTTCTAACCTTTATTTATTTCTTATTCTTAGCTTTTGTATCAATTAATGGCTTTCGTCACCCTTGGGTGTCGGCCAGCACGTGTTTATCCTGGTATTCGGGGAATATCAGGGTCAGGGCGTGTCAGAATCAGTATGTTACGGAGATAGTGAACCAATTCCATATGAGTCCTCTCTTTATAGGCTCATGACATCTGTGAAATCTCGTTCCTGGATTTCACTGTTATGATCTACGTATTTGTATTATTGAGATTTTGTATTATTTTCAAGAATTTATATCAATTTATTTGAATTTAGATTTTAATTAAACTAGTTACGAAAGTTTGAAGTTTGGAAATTAATTATTTAAAATCCAAAGACCTTTCGAGGTCATAATTTATATTTTCGAATAGAGCACGATCTCACGAACGAGTAGGCGCAAACCGTTCGTGAAACGGAGTTATAACGAAATATTTATTAACGTTTAAAGTTATGGACATTGTTGTAATTTTGGCCTCATCTAGAAGGCTCTAGATTTTCTGGAGCAATGGATGTGTCATGTGTGTGGCTGTGATGGAAGGGAAAGGAGAAAAAATGAGAGGGGTTGACGAATCAGGAGGAGGAGGAGGAGAGAAAGGGAGCCAATGGGAAAAAGAAGAAAGGAGGAAAAATGAGGGGGAAGAGGAGCATGGGATCCCTTCGGCCCGTTTCCTTCTCCGACCTAACCTAGTCCACTTCATCTTCTCCCGCCGTTTTTCTTTGGTTTTTCGGGCGAACCACTTTACCTAACCCCATGAAAAATGTTCCACGACCTTCCCTCTACCTATTACAACCCAAAATTGTAGAAATTTAGCTTTGAACTTGGAAAAACCGCACATGTGGGTGTGGGTGTTCTTGTCATCGATCCTCCAAATTTTGAAACAATTTCCTTCGATCTCCATAACCATTATACTCCCCTAAACCTCAGGAACAAAGCTCATGCATTGGTTGAGGCGTCGGAGCTGTTTTGGAATCGAATCAAGAACACCCAAAATCAAGGGTTTCCGTCGGTTCGTGGGAAATTTGAGGTCTTTCCTGGCCAAATTGGACTTAGCCACATGTATGAAACTTGCTCCACTCACTGAGATCTACTTGTCTGTAAAATTTGGTAATTTTTGGAAATAGTTGAATTTTTCGGCAAGTCGAGACGGTCAACCGCCACCCATGGCGGCATGTGGTCAGTGGGCTAACGATGTCTTTCTAAATTTAATTAGATGCCCTAATTTCATAATTGATATCCGTATGATGTGGTTTGGTTGTTTGAACTTAGTTTCATTACGATACATCACTTGATCAAAATTTGAATCGATGATCCGACTGTTGGATTGTCACCAAACTCTAATGCGTTATAGAATGTAATATTTGAGGATATCTTGAACTGACAAATCGGGAATCCAATGTACGGATCTTCCTGAACTGGCTTTTTAAATTAGTAAAATTAATTGTTAATCGCCACCTAATTATGGCAATTGGCAGAAATCCGACCATCGGATCGCCATGAGATTTTAGTAGGTTGTTCTAGATGTATAATGTGGACCTTAGGAAGTTATGGTGTGTGGATCTTCCAGATTAAATTGCTAGGGTGTGAACCCCATAGTTGATTGAGAGTTGACTTTTGGTCAACATGTCTGGAACCATTTGATTTACAAAAATTAGTATTACTAAAGACTCAATGGGGCTTTGCGTACTTGTCTTG